ACTTGACCGTCATTGGAGTCTGCTGTACACAGTGATGAGGTGTCCAGGATGTGTGCAGTGATGAACACAAACTTCTTTAGCCGTTGTAGAGGAGAGAATTAACTTTAGCCACACTCACAGATTCTCCTTTAAGTGTCTTTCATAGACAGTGAGGAGCCTAATGAATTTGGTGGTGCCCTGGGCCCTCCAGACACCCAGTTGCTGGGCGTCCCCACAGAGGGGCATTGTCTGCAGGGAGTCGTTGTGCTATTCCTGCTTCTGTCAGTGATTTAATTAACAACAGGAAATAAATGGGTTGGAATAAAATTGTAAATCCTATCTCAGATGCAATCATACTCTTCCGTCCTTTTGAGAAAAATCACAGTACAGAGAAGACAGTTTCTATGGAAAAATGTGTTTATCTCAGGTTGTAGTATTTTTTCCCTTGTTGAATCTTGAATCTAAGTCCAAGCAGTATTTGATTTGTGTGATCCTCACCACTGACCAGCCAAGTAGAAGGGAGTGACGTGTATCTTTTATCTGTAAGCACTTTTAATCAGCTATCAACAGATAATTGACCCAATTCAGGTTAACATAAAGATTTCAGACCAGGCTTTAGGTCTCAAGAGCTATTTGGTGCTATAAACATTTTAACGGCATATCATGAGTTCTAAATTTTAGAATTCTTTTTAGTGGACCAAGAATATTATTGTGCTTAGGTGAGAATTTTTACATTAGGTAAATGGAGCTAGAATGCAGCTTTAGGAGGTTTTGTGTCACAGCATTCACAATGACTTTTTTTTAACCCTGTGGATTTTCTTTCTTAGATCAGTGTGTGAAACCAGACTAGTTTTACACTGAATGAGTAAAGGAATGGATGAAAACACCATCTTCTCAGTCTTTTTTTGGGGATATGATTTGTTTATTTATTTATTTTTGTCAGAAGCCATGGGTATGGAAGTTTCTGAAACAAGCCCAGAGTCTCCTGGCTAATAAGAAGGAACACAGGTAGCTAAGTAGTTCGGTCTGAGGGAGGACAGAAGGGAGGTTGAAGAGCCACTAAGGTTTCTCCCACTGAGAAATCAGGAGCAGCCTGCCCGTGGTGACATCTGTTGTTTCGAAACTCACTTCCCACTGTCTCGGTCCAGGTTTGGTTTTCCTCGTAGTTGTCTGGTATCCAGGGAGAAGCTGACTCTGTATCTTTGAGTGCTAAGTAATTAAGTTTGCTGTTTGCTTATTGATCAGTAAGATGAGAGGCAGGATGAGGTACCAGCAGCTGACTCCTGCTTCTCACAGAGAACTGGGGAGGGGCTGCACCCACAGATACTTAAGAGACCCTTCTTAAGGAAGTCTTCCTTCTCCCTCTACTGTAGGGGAGTCAATGTAGAATGTTCTGTCTCAGAACACTTCAAGCTATATTGGAGTTTGTGACCGTTCTCCCCTTTGTTTTGAGAGCTGTGAGGAGCATGGAACCTTATTTTATTCCCTTTGCAACCCAACCTAGCACAGGGCTTGTGCACCCTGTGAGTGCTGGTTGAAAAAGGAACAGTCATCAGCTGAACCTTGGAAGTTGATGTGTGGGAAGTACTGATTTATGTGAGTGCACTTTCTTGTCTTGTCACTTTGGGAAAAGGGAAGAGGCTGACCTCAGTGTGAGGTAGGTTCCAAGTTCATCTTTATTGTTTTATAATATCCCTGGACAAAACAGATGTCAGTGACTGAATGATGTATTTGATAACTAAATTTGCTAATGGGGATGCCCATGCCCTGGCTTTTCTTGTTCTTAGACTTCTGTCTTCAGTGAATGAGTGAGTCTCCTCCCCGCTCTGGAGATGCTTTAGGCTTTGTGGTAGGAGGGAGCTGCTTGGCGGGGCTCCTAGAAGCCCCAGGGGAAGTCGTGAGGTTTGACAGCTTCTAAGAGGGGGTGGGATTGACTCAATTGAAGCTGTTTGGAGAAGCTCCTCCTTTCGGCAAGGGTAACAAGGAGTGTCTTGTTCTGTCCTCTGGAGTCCCTGCAAGGGGCCGCTGTGTCTAAGGGATGCCATTAGCATCCAGGCAGCATGCCACAGGAATGAAAGATTTCATCTGGATTGCCAGTAACTGTGGCAGAGTGAAACTGGCCACGCCAACCAGAGACAGGCTCGCTTAGGAAGCTGTCTGTGTGTCTGGCTTCAGATTGCTCCAGAGGCTCCGGGAAGGCAAAGATGCCGTGGTGATCCCAGGGTGATCCCAACTTGCTCTGGTATAGCACACAGAGACACAAATGAATCATGTTGATTCCCCTGGGGGAGCAACTCCTGTCTGTGAAATATTATTTCGTTTTAATTTTGGAAATTCTAGTTGAGCCTGAATATAATACAGATCATACCCCAACAAAAAGGAACCAGAGATTAAAGTATTTGCCTGGGGATTGTTTTAAAGGAAGTTGTACTTTACTCTTGCCTCCTAAAAGCACTGTAAAGCACTTGGCCTGGTACTGGAGAGAGACAGAGTTTTTAAAAGTAGGACAGTGTCATCAGTTTCTGTATAAAATTGTGCCTGTCACTACTTGACACACCAGCTTGACAGGGCCAAGCCTTGTTTTAAGCAGGTTTGTTTCAGAATAGAGTTTCCACCTAAATGCCTTTCTTCTTTGTTTTATAAGCACCTACTAGGGGACAGACACCACTTCCTTGGTCACACACTGTCTGCGAGTAGGAATTTGCCTCTCCAGATCTGCTTTTAAAAATGGCAATGTTTTCTTTCCAAGTTTGTTGTAAAGATTAGAAGAGATGATACTTGTAAGTTACTTGGCATCATATCTAGCACATAGGGACTTCTTACAGTTTTTTAGAATAAGACCTAATTCCTGAGCAGCCAGGGTTTATGGTTTGGGAGGAGAAGCAGACAGGTGAATGCAGATTAGGATTCAGTGTGTGTTAAGTGCTGTGATTGGTTTGTTAGCAGAGGTTTACTAAGACCTCGTGTTCCATGTCAGACCGTGCATGGAGATAATGCAGTGAATCACACAGATCAGGTGACTGAATTCATGAGACTTTCCACTGACCAGCCATCAGACAGAGCTGTGCACAGGCGTTCCGTTCCTCAGGGACAGGATAGTCTAACCAGGATAAGAACGGAAGTGTAGGTGTACTTGGAGGAACGGAGGCCTGTGTTTTCAACACTCGGTGGATATACTGAGCAAAAAAAAAGCCACATGTGAAAGCGTATGTGCTGTTGAGTTCCATCTTCTAAAGTACAGAACAGGCAAGCTCAGTCTGCAGAGAAAGGACTCTGAGCTGCGGCTACCCTTGGACTGAAGCAGTTGGTTACTGACTGGCAGCATGTTACATCTGGGTGTATGTAAGTTAGCAGGACAGAGCTGTATCCACTTATGAGTACAGTGTATTTTGTTACGTTATCTCTCAGCAACAACAAAAAGCTTTAAACGGCCATATTGAGTAGGCATACTGAGTGAAAAGGGAAGCAGTTATCTAAGAGCAGACAGGCCATGATACAGCCACAGGAACAAGGAACTTTATTTTTTAAACATGTATTTTATTAAAAATTTATTTTTACTGCCTGGCAAGCACAAAGTCATGAGCTCGATCCCCAATACAAAAAAATTTTTTTTATTGGTGTATGTTTGCAGTACATAATGATTCCATCTATTCTGCAGAGTATCTCCCTGTTTCCTATTATCTATTATTATTTATACTCTAATTTATTTATACTTTGGGCTTCTCACATAAAGGAAACCACGCCAGTGTATTTAGGCTTATGTTTCTGATTTGTTTCATTTAACGTGGTTTCAAAGGTTCACCCATTTTCCTACAAATGACTCATGCTTATGCGAGCTATTATAAGAGAAAGAAAAAGTTTCAAGTATTGGGCTAACGGTGTCCTTTGGTAAGGAAGAAGGATGGTGGAGTGGAGATCGACCTTGATTTAAGTCCTTACCTAGGACTTCTGTCTCACCTTCCCATTATACTTGAGATCACGTTTTGGGAGGATTACTGGAAATAATGGATGTCAGGTGCTTGTATCTGGCCTGTATGGATTTAATGAATGCTTCTGAAGTGATTTAAGTGTGAATGTGTGTTTAAGTGTGAAAATTAATTGCAATTCTAATACTGCATTGGATCTTCAAAATACAAAACTAAGAATTATTATATTATGGAGCAGTGCTTGGTTATTTGAAACACTGGATCCTTTATCAATTATTTTATTTCATGTAATTCGAGTTTACTATTTTATTATGGAGTCTTGGGGGCTTTCCCCCTCTTTTATGGGCTGGAGTTGTAGCTGTACCAGTTTGAAGTGTTTAAGGTTTAGGAACACAGCCCAGTGGTTGAGCTTTTGCTTAGCATGAGAAGTTCCTAAATTGAATCCTTAACACTTGACACACAAAAAAGCATTTGAGAACAGTTTAAATGTAGTCAAAGAATACCAGCTTCAAAGTTGGTTGTATATAATTCACTGTCTTTTCCAAAATTGTTTGAATATATGGGAAAGAAAAGTAGTGCTTTTCCTGATTTTCTTACAAATGAAATTTACTTTCTCGAAAAGTGAAACACATCAAGCCAAGCATGGTGTAGACATCTGTAATCCCAGCAATTGGAAGGCTGAGGCAGGGCGATCACCAGCCTGGGCTACAAAGTGAATTCAAGGCCAGCCCAGCCCAAACTATATAGCAAGACTCAGTCAAGAGAGAGAGAGAGAGAGAGAGATTTAAACATCAGATTATGAGTGTGCTATATAGCCATTTGTGATTGTAATCATGAGTACTTTATGACATAACTGTTATATGAGACATCTCATCCAATCAATAACTAACCAAATTTATTTTTAATCTTTTGACATGAATAGTGCCCTGTCTGTTTTTAAATAATTCTTACGTTTGTTTTGAACACCAGTCCTTTCCCTGGTCTGGGATCTCTCTGGTGTTTCCTGGGAATGGGTTTGCACCGGGCGTCCAGCACATAGTCTGTTCGGTGTCTGAACACCTTGACTCTCTCAGCTGACTCTGCCTTTGTGTTTAGGAGCGAACGTGCCCGCTGGATCACTGCCCTCGGACACAGCAGCGGGAAGCAGCCTCCAGACCGGACCTGTAAGTTTCCTGCAGGGGCAGCCTGACCGGGGACATGGAGGCGCTGTGCCCCCTGCTGGTCGCGGCGTACACCCCACAGTCCTGGCTTCCTAAATTTCACCCCAGGTTGCCTTCCTTCTGGAAGCCTTACAACAGTGCTGCTGATCCCAGCTTTGGAAGTCCGGGGATCTCAATTCAAATCCAAGATGCCGTTCTTCTTTGTTATATAAACATAGAAAATTGTTGCTTAGCCTTCTTGAACCTATTTAATCATCTGAAAGTCAGGTACATGATTTTATATATAAAGTGGGATTATTGTGAGGATTAAGGTAAATTACATATGATGAAAGCCCTGTTTGATCTATAAAGCTCTTAAATTTTTGACTGCTGTCAGTGGAAAACTGTTGCAAATTCAAGCCTTCTTTTCATTAATAGTCTGAAAGTTTTCAACCTAAAGAAAATCACTTAATTTTCCCTTTTGACCTTTAAGTATATTTTGTTCTACCAGAGAACTATTCGGAACTATTGCAGTTCATGTTGGTGTCTTTGCCTATTCATCATCTCCTTAACGTCGATGTACTTCTGGTGATTTTAGCTACAAAGTCAACCTGAAGGATTGCAGAAGCAAAGCTAGTTATCTTGGAGCACTCAAACATCATAGCTCCTGAAGTCAAAGCCACAGTGATTGGTGTGAAATAAACTTACATTAAAAATAGTCATGTGAGTCAGCACCTAATCACTGAAGTTGTTTCATGTTCATTTTAGCATTTGGGGCAGGCAGTCTAAAACTCCTCATAAGCTTTTAATGGGTGCCTATGTTATTATTGAGCTTCATCGAAATGGCACATACGCTGCTACCTGGTGAAGTGGGCACACACTCTGGATGAGAGTTGGATGTTACTGACTTTATCATCAGCTGCACAGCCTTGGCATATCATCTACTCTCTCTTGCCTCAGTTTCTCCAGTGCATAATGGTTGCCTTCTGTGCCGGGGCATGACATGACTAATGACGCACCATCAAAAACCTTTTGGATCTGAGTTTCTGTAATTCTAACACTTGTAGCCAAACAAGAGAATTCCTAGAAAAAACCTTCTACCTCTGGAACAAGCCAGCCTTCTTCTGTCAGTGCCAGCTCCAAACCATGCAGAAGAATTGAGTTAATGAACACTGCTGCTTTGTATGAGTCTCCTACCTCCTCTGCCGCTGGAAGCTCAGTGTGTCCCCTTTCTTGCAGCCCTGACCCAGGTGGAGATCATTAGATCGTTCACTGCCAAGCAGCCAGATGAACTCTCCCTGCAGGTGGCGGATGTGGTCCTCATTTATCAGCGTGTTGGAGATGGTGAGTGGGTGTGGTTTTTTTTTTTGAGGAACTTGTGGCCAGCATTCAAAGAACCATAGACCCCAGGAGTTTTATTTTGTCATCAACACTCATATTCCATATCCTGATGCATTAATGTTTGAACTCACATGTACTGGCCCCTCAATCTAAGGCCAGCTTTACTTCTCCTTTTTTTTTTGGTACTGGGGATAGAACTTACGACCTTGCGCTTGCCAGGCAGGCACACACCACTGAGCTACATCCCTAGCCCCTTCTTCTCCATTCTCATTTCCTCTTTCCCCGGATTTCATTTCCCAAAGCAGTTCTTTTTCAGAGTCCTAAAGATGACTTAGAGAAGCGTTTTAAGGACTTTGATAGATTTGGAAACTTACCCTGCCTGACTTTGATCTTTTTGTACCTTCCTTCAGTTTTCTTATTTTTCATGCATGTCTTCATTTATCTGCACATTTACTTTTGGATAGGCATACAGTCACATGGTATTATTCAAGAGGAACCATGAAAGGTTTTCTTTCGCATTTCCCTAGTGATCTACTTGTTAATTCCAAAGGTTCTTTCTTGCTTTCAAAAGGAATTTTTTTCTGCTACCCCTACCCAAAGAATGCTCTTCCTCAGTTCAACACTAGTTCACATACTTTTAGGCTCCTTACAGCCTCCTTCTAGCCTTCTCTGCTCACCTTTGGTCACCGTGGTACCCAGTGGCACAGAGATGCTGCCTCTAAGCCATCCTGACCTCTTCCTTAGAGCCTGGTGCAGTGACACTCCACCAGATACAAAGAGCAAACTGTCTTCTTCTTTGCAGGCTGGTATGAGGGGGAACGACTTCGAGATGGAGAAAGGGGCTGGTTTCCTATGGAATGTGCCAAGGAGATAACATGTCAAGCTATAATCGACAAAAACGTGGAGAGAATGGGACGTTTGCTAGGACTTGAGACCAACGTGTAACCTCTGAGATGGCATTTTACTGCGAGATTTGCACGACAGGCTAGTGGACTGGTTGTACTGTTAACTTCATCACCATCTATTTAACTTAAAAAAAAAATAAAAACACTTGCCTTTAAGCTTGCCAAGATGTTCTGATCTCCGAAGAACAGCTAGTTAATGCACAAACTCAGTTCTTGCATGATGATCCCTTGGTGAACCTATTCTGGTCCTCAGAGCCACCCACTTCACGGACCAGGCAGTCTCAGCACCTCCTACTTTCATGGCATCCTGGCATAATTTATACATAGGGCTATGTCCTGGTTGTCTTAATGCTCACTTTGCTAAGAATATTACTATTCTCCCTTAAATATTTCTTTATATGGTTTTCCAAGTATTAGCAAAATTTTGTTTCTAAGGAGTACCAAGTTTTGTAAATATTTTTTCCTTTTTTTTTTAAACATCTGATTCTAAAGCTATGTTGAGAGTTCAGAGGCGAGCTGTCAGGTTTTCCTAAATCACTTCCCCGGAATGGGACATTGACACTTGAATTTTTGCTCCCATTTTCCTCATTAGATGGAAAGTAAGGAGCCTCCCTTTAAGGGTTTGTTTTTTTAAAATCCATCTCATTCAATATTGGTCTTAGAAAAACGTAGTTTAATAAACCTAAGCTATTTAAACACAGAATTTAGATGGCTCACATGTGTAGAAAATCCTGAACACTGGACAGGGTCCTGAATATCTTTTTTAATGTTACCAGGTGAACGGATAAGCTGATAAAATACTGACATGAGGCTGCTCCGCCTTTAATAATGCAGGATTCTTACCTGTCCCCTACTTATTTCCAAATAGGAAATGAGGTAGGACACTCTGTAACAATCTCAAGAAAGGGAAAATGCAACCTTTGAAGTTATCCAGAGGCCAATACAATAACTACTTGAAATATTTTGATCTTAATAAGAATCTGTTCTAGTTACACTTAAAATCCTTGCTTGCTGGGTTAGAAGTCTCAACTATCAGTATCTAGATAACTTTATTTCTTCCACCAGGGCAGGTTGAGATACCATGTTTAATAATAGGTCTCATAAGGGGCTGGGGATTTAGCTCAGCGGCATAAGCACCTGCCTTGTAAGCAGGCAATCATGAGTTAGATCCCAGTACCGATAAAAAGGAAAAAGACAATAATAATAATAATAATAATAATAATAATAGGTCTCATAAAGAGATATGGTTTGGAAGACGGGGAGAGGGTAAATGATTTTTACTGTATGCTCCCTCTCTGCTCTCAACGATGGCATAAAAGCTGGCACCCTCTAAAATACTGTCGCACCCTGTATCTGCTAAACAGTGATCTGGACCGTAAGGTTACAGAAACCCTATGCTTAGATAAGTGTGCCTGGCTCTCAGCTGCACACCTTACCTGGCCGTGGACTGTTTTACTCTCGGACTGCTGTCATCTACCTGAACCTCCATGGACTTCAAATGACAGCCCAGGCCCTGAGTGTTTTGGGAGACCTTAGAAAGTAGTGAGTAAGCAATAGCAACAGGCCACAGCAAGGGGCCTCCTGGTGTTTGTAAAAAGAAAGTCTGCTCCTCTTTAATAATGTCACGAATTTTCTAGAGCAGCAGCTAGGAAATTGTAATTTAATATAATGTTTTATTTACAAAGGAAGGTAAACTTGTTACTTGCAAGGCGACCATTTTGTATTATTTTTGCTAATAACTGGTTGAAGTTAGAAAAACTATATGAATCCTGTGAATTAATTTATAGTGCAAGTGTTAAACAGTTTTGGAAGTATGTGCAGTTCATAAATCAAAGCCTTAATTAGCAAGCAGATTAATACAGTTACTAAAATATTTCTGTACAGAAGTTAACACTATTCACGTTTCACATCAACCTACAGTTGTTTGTAACATATTTTCAAAGCTAGTTCCATTTCTTTGAATACTGTCTCTGAATTGTACAGTGACTTCATTAATGGAAAACAAAAATGCTGTCTTTGTTTCAATAAACTGAGTTGCTTGTACACTTTAAAAATTTTGTGACTGTATAAAGATTTTGTATATATTTGTCTCTTTGTATTGGTGTGAATTAATTACTACTTTTTGTAGAGTATGGTTTTCTGAATTTTTTGCTAAATCAAAGTTGTATTCAAACGATAATGGTAACTTAACATTTCAGGAGTTTTTTTTTTTTTTTTTCAGTACAAGGAATTGAACTCAGGACCTTTGCATGGGGCTCACCATCAGTCCTTTTTGTTTTTCAACAGGCTGTTGATAAGTTGTCCAGTCTGGTCTTGAATGTGTGATCCTCCTGGCTCAGCCTCCCAGAGTGCTGGGAATACAGGCATGCATTAACATACCTGGCCCAGGTTACTAATCACATCTCGTTGAGTACATGCTGGCATTGGCTACCCTGGAAGACTGGAAGTGTTCTTTCTTGTTTTGTTTCCTCTTCGTGCTGTTTCTTCTATTGTTAGCTGAAAACTGCAGGATGTACAGCTTATCTTAAACAGTGCCCAGACCCCTTATTGTTGCCCTGTGGAGCATATTTTAATATTCACTTTGCCGCTCAATATCTAGATCATTGTGGCTATAAAGTTTTGTCACCTTATGAATCTTGGTGGGAGGCAAAAGATGAATCCTGTATTAGTCTGCTAGGGTCATCTAAAAAATTACTACAAAATTTGTGTCTCAAAACAATACTCTGATAGTTCTCCAGACCATTCCAGGATAGTATGGGTTGTCTTACTAGAGGCTCACATGGCAGTAATCAGTGTGTTACCTAGTTTCTCAGCAAAACTTGGTGTCTTCCTTCATGTTTATTGCTATCAGAATTCACCTCCTTGCAGTTGTAGAACTGAGATCCTTATCTTCTGCTGGCTGTCAGCTCCGTCCTGCCCACAGCTTCTAGAGGCCTTTCCTATTTCACACCACATGGCTTCTGTCTTCAAGACATATTTAAGCCTCCTCAGATCTTAGAGCTCTGTGTCCCTCTTTATGCTCTTAGATAAAATGGCTTTTAGAGAACTCATATGTTAGACACATGGGATAATTGTCTTAGTGATTAACCCAAAATTCACTGCTTTGGGACCTTAATTATATCTGCAACGTTTTTTGACCATACAGCAAAATAATCCAAGATGTGGCACAAAGAATGGAGATGGAGACCACATTAGAATCCTGCCTACAATACCCTCTGTATAATCTTAAGATTAGAAGCCCTGCTTTCTAGCTTCCCTTGCAGCTAAGACACAGCCATGTGAGACCAAATGGCAGTCACATACATTATTCTTTGGATACATCAGGCATACTTGCTGGATTTCTACTCAAGCTAGTGATGGAATAAAAAACATGGGTAGAGCCAACCATTTTAAGTAGCTGGATGCATCATTTTCTTCTCCATCTCCTGTCTACACTCCCAGTCCATTTACTGTGGGCTTTGGGAATCAGCCAAGAGGGAGGGCCACATAGTGTAACTGCAGTGTTAACTAATGCAGGTCACAGTTCTGTGCCTGCCACCACAATCTTTGTTGTGCATTGTGTGTCCAAAGGGCTTACTCTGGAATGAGAGTATGGACCTGGTGAGAGTATGAAAGACTTGGAGTTTTGCTTTCGGGAATACTAGCATAGTTAAATCTTAGCAGAAGGAGACAAAACCTCTGGAAGAAACTACCATCATTTTAATTCTCAGTTATTTCTCAAAGCAAATTATGAATGACTGGTCCACATCTATGATGTGGGATTGTGGTACAGAAAAAGCACAAGGACTCCAGACAATCAAACCATCAGGTATGACGTGTAAAACCAATCATAACCGTGACAAAGCCGCACTTTGAAATTAGTGCAGAACCAGTAACTACAAAAAAAACCCAAATAAATAAAATAACACAATGACAAAATCAACCTAGAAATTACAGAGTTAAGTTTAACAGATTGGCAGAATTAAAAGATTGGGGAAATGGGAGAGGCAAGGGGCAACTGTGCACAGAGTCATGGAGCACGCAGGAGTGCAGAAAGGAGGGGCACAGGTGATGGGTTTGCCTGCATAGCCCTCCTGCACCAAGTCCTGGGATGCAGGGTGTCCGTAGGAAGGGACAGTGGTCATAGTTGAGGTCAATCCTTCCGTCTGAGGACAACACCCGCAGAGCTGGTGGGTGGAGCCAGTCTGGTAGCAGTCCTAGCACTTGGTGGGGTGAATCCTTCAGTCTTACAGGAGGATGAAGGCAGCGTATTACAGCATATAGCTTTTTAATACTGGATAAAGTGATCTGTAAAATAAAAGGCATGCTAGAGATAAACAGCCTGCACAAGGAGTTATTTAGTTTAAATCAAGATACAATAATTCTATATACATTTGCTCCCAATAATGGTCTCAAAATATAAGAAACAAAAGTTGGCTGAGATCCAAAATCATTGTGTAAAATAGACATCTCACTTAAGAAAAGTACAAAAGCATCAGTAAAAGTAAAGATTTTAATGACAATAGTTTAATGTACTAAGCATATACAGGACCTTTTGCAACCATTTCAGCATTTTCAATCTTTCAGGAATGTAACATATTTACATCTGACTATTTCCTGGGCCACAACACATTTTAAGAAATTTTAAAGGACTAAAGTTATTCAGACTAAAGTTCTTTGATTTCAATACAACTAGATGTCAACAAATAAAATTAAGAAATACCCATTTATTTGAGAACTTGGACTTCAATGTAAAATACAACATTATAAAATCCCCAGAAGATGACATAAGCAAGAATCTGTTTTTGCAAAGTAGAAGAAACATCAAATGCATAATCCAAGAAAGAAAAAATACAAGTTAAAAAGAACTCAGGTTCTATGAAAGATGCTTGATAGAATGAAAAGAGTCACAGAGAGGGAAGAAATCTTTGCAAAACACACAATTGATACAGGATTTTCAAAATGTGCAAAGAGCTCTTAAAACTTGACAATTAGGCAAGCAGGCAGTCATGAGTTCGATCCCCGGTACTGATAAAAAGGAAAAAGACAAAAGACAAAAAAACAAAAAAAAGAAAACTCGACAATTAGAAATGAGCCATTTGAACTGTATGAACTGTATAACTCACCAAATATGTACAGATGGCAAATAAGCTTATGAGAAGATGCTTAATATCTTATATCAAGGAACTGAAAATTAAAATAGTGTGGGACCTTTATCCACCTTATAATAGCTAAAACATAAGACCTTAACAATCCCACTTATCAATGAGGATATCAAGTAATTGGAACTCTTATTTATTGCTGGTTATGATGAAAAACAAGCTTGGAAAGATAATCTGGCAGTTTCTTACAGAACCACTCCTATTATATGATTCAACAGTCACATTCCCTGGTATTTATCTAGAGAAGTTGAAAACAGCTACAGACACAAAATTGCACAATACATACTTGTAGCAGTTTTATTAATAACTTCCAAACCTTAGAAGCAACCAAGATGTCCTTCAATAAGTGAATAAACTGTGTTACCTCTATACAATGGTGTGTATTCATCAGCAATTAAGACATGTAAAAAACTTAAATGCATATTGCTAATTGAAAGAAGTCAACTGGAAATGGATACACACACGATACCAAGAATATGACATTCTAGAAAAGGTAAACTATGTAGACAGTGGTTGCCAGTGTTCTGGGGCAGGGAGGCATAGGAGGACCAAGGATTTGTTTTTGAGCAGTGAAAGAATTCTGTATGATGTGGCGATTGGGAGGTACATGGATTGTACAAAACAACAGCAGCAGCTAGAACAATAAAGGCTGACCCATAAACCTTAGCTAACAAACAAAATACCAACATTGGCCCATCAGTTATAGCAAACATTCCACAATGCAGGATAACAATAAGGGAAATGCAGGGGAGTATGAAGGGGCATACGGAAACTCTGTACTTACTATTCAGTTTTTCTGTAAAACTAAAACTGTTCTTAATGAAAGTATTAAAGAGAAAAAAATTGAAAGTTTCAAACAAAGGAAATGATAAAGAAACCTGGAAAATCAGGAATGAAGAATAGAATAAACATTTGGGGAGTTAGATTATCCTTGAGTTTCTTTTTAATTAATTTTATTGGTACAGTTTTGATATACACACATTCATCATGGAGAATTTTATCTGTACATATCTCGATTCTTTTTTCCCCATCCTTGAGTTGAAGAAAATTCATGATACATGGATCAAAGCAAAATTATATTGTTAGACATGATTAGTAACATATGTAAGGAAATATTTAATAAATCAGCATTATAAGGCACAGATAAATGTACCTAAATGATTGCAGTGTTTATTTCATTTGAAATGGCAAAATGCTGACACTAGTAGACTGTAAGTTACACATGTATACTGTAAGCCATAGGACAACTACATTTTTTTCAAAGAAAAATACTAAAAAAACCACAATAAGTAAGGTAAAACTAAAGAATTAGATACTCAGACAAACCACAGGAAAAAAAGAACAGGAATGAAAACAAAGGGATAAAAAGAAAATGAAGTGGCAGACTTAATGAATACATATGCTTTAAGTGCCTAAATAAGTCCAAAACTGATAGGTTTTTTAAATGACCTAACTACACACTATTTGAAATACATTTAATAGTAATAAATAGGAAAAGATATACCAAGCAAATAAAAAACACCTGGAGTAGCGTTATTATTATCAAAGTACATTCCAGGCAAAAAAAATTACCAAGGACTAAAAGGGACACTACCTCACAGTAAAAGGAATGCTAAAGTCAAGAAGACAAAACAACCTTAAATGTCTATGCATGAAATAAGAAGAGCTTCAAAACAGATGTGGTAAAAACAGAATTAAAACAGAAAGGTATATACAGAACACCAAGAAATGAAATATAATTGATATTTATAGTATAACCCAATGACAGATTAGCCACTTTTTAATACAGACATGGAACAAGTAATTTACCAAGCCAGATATATTCTAGGTCATAAAACAAAGAATTTCAAAGACTATTCCTTGACAGTGGAACTACAAATTAACAAAGTCTCCAGATACTTGGAACTGAACAG